ACACGTTCACAGTTCGACGAGTACTTGCACCTCAGTTCAAAACAACTTAATTCTCCCTTTTACATAAAGATATAAAGCTTAGTCAAGTGGGTTGCTTTATTACTAGTAAAGCATAAGGGTTACAAGCCAGCCAAAAAATAACACCATCTGAATACGAACCTGTTGGTGAACCATTCGACAAACTGAACGCTCCAGATCAGAAAAGACCTGCAAAGGAACAATGTGCAGCTAAATGTCAAAAGCCCCCTTTTCCCCCATATAATTGACATCAGAAGAATACAGAAATCATGAAGACAATTTTTCCAACATACACAAAATTACAGGTCACCCAACATTATTTATTTAATATTCAAGTCTATTAACCAAGGTTCAAACTAATTAGCATACGGATCATAATATCTAGGATATAATATATACCTTGGACATTGAGGTTAAGATATCAGCCAAGAAGAAGTCAGCAAATGTAATTGCCTGCAACAGAAAAATAAAACCATAAAGCATGACTATCATTACTATAAACTCTTCACATTACAGCCAGGAAAGAGATTAACAGTTTCCAAAAAAAGTGTCGGGCCTGGCTCCTCTTAGAAAACAAAGTAAAAATAAGGTCTACAGGTGTTCCACCAGATGGATATGCAAAGGACATTCAGCACCAGGGGGAGATCTTCAGACAATTATAGGATACAACTATGAAATGCTATACAGCGATACAGCACCAGAGTAAATGGCTACTTGCCTGTAGAGGGAAAACTATCCGCCAAAGGGTCCTCAACAAGAAGTAGCGCGACGACAAGTAGAATATATCGAAGGGGAATATCAAAAGCATTGCAACAGCACAATAGAGTAGAACCTGTAGTAGAGGTAGGAGTAAATTAGTATTCTTAGAGAGGTAACAAGTGTTTATTTTTTTCTTTTCTGAAGTCATGCCACATGCAAACTAATTAGAGAGAAAATAGCAAGCTACATTGTGGATGTTCAGGTAGCATGTCAAACCGTTTGGTCAAAGTTCATCACTTATGTATGCTTTATGCAGTTATTTAAAGTGAATGCTCTCACCACTTCCAAGTTTCTGACAGTTCTAATTACTGTTATAGCTCATGGTATTAATGTTACCATATTAGACCATGAAACAATCATGGCAAATAAAATCCTATATTAGTCTCATAACCATGTACGTCTTACTGATAAAGGCCAAAAGGTCACTTTATTCAAGTGTAGATGATATATACACATCCATCAGCCACATTTACAGATACACAAACAACTTACACGTGCTTATCCACCCACCCACCTATAATAATTCATTCCAAATCGAGTCGACCTTAAGAGTCGAGGTACCAACCATCACCTTGGTAATTCTTTAAGAAAATTCAATGGTTTCTGCATTCCTAGAAAACTGAGCATCAGGTATATCCTTAATCTAAGCAACTTCACAATCAGAAGAAGCCACAGGCCAGTATGTTGTAGAAGTTCATGACTTCAATCAATGCAACTAGAGTCAACAACATAGAGACAAACCAGCTAAACCTAAACATCATTGATAAATAATTAAAAGGAGCTTCTATTACACTGGTTGTGATGCTGCCAAAGACACTTCGCCATGGGAATAGAGATACAGATAGGCTGTCATGCTACTTGGGACAACTATTGTCATCCACATGGCAACCTGCACTTATAAAAAGATCTGGGGTTAAGAGGGGAAGGAAGATTCACTACTAAGTTACAAGAACGTAAAGAGGATAGCAAAAGTCCAGTGTAATATAAGATCTATATAGATATGAGTAACTTAATAAAACCGAACCTTCCATATTTCTCTGTGATTGAGATGGTTTTGGTCAAGATCAAAAATCTTAGCATAACTAACAGTTGACTGGGAGAAGACCCACAAATTAGATCCCCAAAGCCAAACTGCGAATGTCTGCAATAACAAGGATAGATTAAAGACCAAGTAGAAAAAGGAAAAGGGATCGCAAGTAAACACCAGATACAAAAGTCCCTTACCACAAGAAGAAGAGGATTGTAATACAAGAAAACCTCATAGAGAAAAAGGTCCCTCAAATTTGCACTCATTCTCATAACAGAACTCCATCCAATCTGCAAAACATTCATCATCTGATTATTACGCAAGAACCAGCACCAAATTAAGGAGAGCTTTGTATGCTCCTGATGATTCAGTCTAATAAAAAAGAATGCAGTATGCTTATCAACTCACCTTACAACAAAAGAAACCCCATAGAAAGAACAAAAGCACCTGTCAAATAAACACATATATGATTATCAAGATTTTTAGAAAGAAGCTTAACCCCAATAATATGGCAGATTGAATGAGTTTTTCACTTTTTTGTAAGGAAAAAAACTAAAGAGTTCAATCTGTACTTAACAATCACAAATGATGTATGAGATCCCACACCAGCTCACATGATTTAGGTCAAATTTATGCAAGATAAGAAGGCCTTAGATAAAAATGTCCAATCTAAGTCCTTCAACACTAGAAGGTCAACTAAGTAGGAAGATTTCCAATGGAAGGTCTAACAATCACAGAGTTCACCGGCATCCATTTCTAATTAACCATTATACTAAACCAGGAATCAGTGCCGAGAAAATAAGTGAAGAAGAGGAACCGAAGAACACCTTGAATCTCCACAACAGTATTGGAGATGGCATTATGGCAGCTGCGGCACTCAGTGACATTGGGAGAATTTTTAAGTTATCGGCCTCTATTGAATGCGAGAACCCTTCTTCTGCACCATTTCCTTGCTCCCCGCCTAGCAAACATGACCAAAAACCATCAACCCAACGAAGAACATAACGAAGAAACAAAACACTACTCCATGCTAACAATCAAGAGCAACCCATTACAACCAACATCCCAAAACCATAAACGCCAGGAAGAATAGGAATTAAAAGAAAAAAGGGGAATAGAAATTAAACTTCTGTTAGCTACCAAGATCAAAGACAACAGGTCGGCTACCAGACTTCCTCAAATGCGGACTATTGCCAGGCGGTACCACTTGACCTCCGAACATCAGATGCAAGCAAAGCAATCAAATCCCCACTTCGCCTATCACCATTGAAAATCATCTCGCGGTTCTCAAAACGAGTGTGGAAAAATGGCGAGAGATCCAAAACTAAACAAAAAGAAACGTTACAGAGAAATGTGAGATCAGAGGGAGACTTACAGAAGAAACTATGAAGTGGGTAATCGCTGGGATTGCGCAGATTCCGAGTGTTGCTGACGATAGAGGGGTTGGCTTTAGATCTCACCCACTGGGGAATGGGATGGATCGTTTTCCTCTAATTTGGGACGGGTTCTTGCTTGGTTCGGACTCGGAGGGGGTAATTTTGCAAATTTGTCGACAACTGATTTGCAAAATATGAAACGGCGGAAGATGGGAGCGTTTCATACATTGTTTCGCTCTCGCTAACGTTAACGTAACGTTCTGCGGGGGGGAAACGTGAAAAAGGAACGACGGGTGCGTGGGCCGTGGAGTGGACCTACCTACTGTCAATGCATTTGTATTTCCGGTTATAAAATTTCCACTAGCTTTTATTTCACCCATTGGGTTGGTCCGAATGTCCGATAGATTTACCTATTTGTCATCATTTCATGATAATCAATTCATTTATATTTTCAAATAATTTGAGACATTCTTAATAATTTATTAAAAAGTCGAAAGTACTCTTTGTATTTTTTATAATTGTGACAATAATAATAATAATAAGTTCATATGTATTTTTTGATCGAATTATCCTAAGTTACTATTGTCTATAATATGTTTCATCTTATCTTATATTATTTTGGCAAAATACACTCGGATAGCCATAACTATCGACTTTGTGACAATAATAGCCACTTTTTTGAAAAATACACTAAAATAGCCACAATTATAAAACTTATATCATAAATTTAGCCATTTCCGTCAAATATTTTAACGGCGTCAATAGCTCCGTCACTTAAGTGGAGATTAGGTTGATGTGGCTGCCACAAGGACAACACATCATGTCCACCTAGATCACCCATGCCACGTGGACACAACATAAGTGTAGTCATCATATAATTAATAAATTCAAATGGAAATAGAAAACAAAAAGGAAAAGGAAAAACTCTGGGTTAATTGCAAAGATGGTCACTGTGTTTACTAAAATCGTTCATGTTTGGTCACTGCAAATATTTAATTCCATTCATGGTCATTAAGATTAGTTCAATAGTTCAAGTTTGGTCACTCTCCGTTAGTCTCCGTTAGTTTTTACTGATATGGCAGTCAACTATTATAGTTGACCGTTAAATGAGTGACATGGCCAATGAAAAAATAAAAAAATTTAAATATTTACAATTTCCACCTCATTTTACAACTATTGAAAAATAAAAATAAAACTTACCTCCCCCTACTTCACCACCGTCACCTTCATCCCTCACCGTTAGAATTGGCAGAGCTTCTCTGGCGAACTCCCTCTCCTGATCAAACAGAGACTCCAGCTTCCCTCTCCTGTCCACCTTCGGTTTCGACTGCACCGGAGCCGCCGGCGGGGCAACTTTCCGGCGAAGAGGACTCCGAGGCAGGTGCAGGATTCGTGGAGTCGGCGGTGGTTGTGCGTATTTCCACTTCGACCTTCTAGTCGTCAACATGGTTGTCGTCGAAGGTCTCTCCATTCTTTTCAGCTCAAACTTAAAAACAGAGTCTCTGGAGGAGAGAAGAAGAGCAGTGAAGAACAGAGCACATGTGGGGATAAGAAGAACAAGTAGCGGGTATCTAATTTCTTTATGGGTTTGAAATCAGAGAGAAATGTGAAGGAAGAATTGGGAATAAGGACAAAGGAAGGAAGGAAGAAGGGGAAATTTTTTTTGCAGAGAGTTTGTTGGGTACAGAACAGAGAGTTGTTGTTGTAGCTGGTGGAGCGAGGACTGAATCAGTGACAGTCAAAAATAAAAAATTTGTTTTTCTCCTTTCCTTTTTTGTTTGAAAGGGAAGTGAGACTGTGCGTCAGAGGAGGTACCCACTTCACTTTCCCCTCTCTGATTCGAAAAAATTCACAAGGGGAAATGGGCTTAGGTGAAAACAAAACATCCAAGCGTAGAAGTTCATCCTTCCCAGCAAGGAGCCGGCGAGGAGTATGACGGTGATCGCAGCGAACGCGAACTGGTAGAAGACGTAGTTCGCCATGGACACCCATCCGATTTTGGACTGGCGGAGGAGGTAGGTTTCGGTGGCGGAGAAGGCCGGGTTGGCGACCAGGTGAGGGTTCTTCCTCAGGGTACCAAAGGCCATGTGATGAGCCCACAGGACCCAGCAGAGAAGCACGGCGGCGAAAGCGTAGAGGGCCATGAAGGCAGAGTTGACCAATGCCGGGATGGTGATGACTCGGAGGTAAATTTTATTTTTATTTTTATTTTTTAATAGTTATAAAATGAGGTGGAAATTGTAAATATTTAAATTTTTTATTTTTTATTGGCCACGTCACTCATTTAACGGTCAACTATAATAGTTGACTGCCACATCATCAAAAACTAACGGAGACTAACGGAGAGTGACCAAACTTGAACTATTGAACTAATCTTAGTGACCATGAATGGAATTAAATATTTGCAGTGACCAAACATAAACGGTTTTAGTAAACCTAGTGACCATCCTTGCAATTAACCCGAATAACTCTCGTTCTCTTCCCTTCCCATTTCCTTCCTCCACCCTCTCTCTCTCATAAGTCATATCTCTACAACAACCTCTGCCGCCTGCATCAGAAATCGCAAAAGGATTGTTCCCTTCTCAGCTTTGGTGCAATTTTCTTCCCTTTTTTGTCTCTCTACAAATACTCTACATCCTTAGATCTACGAAGTTTTCCCGGCCATTCTGCAGATCCATAGGAGTATGAGCCCCAGTAAGTGACGAAAACTGAAGGCTGAAGACGAGCAACTCTGGTCTAATGGGGAGAGCAGAGAGTCGGAGGTAAAAACGGCGTGCGGCGAGATGAGAGTTGGGTCAGGCGCTTGGATGGCTTGGAGTGGATGCCCCGACCTGTAGAACATGGGCAAGGTCGGTGCTACGGGGAAGCACTCTGCGGCAGTGGAGACTTGCTCTGAGCACCGTCGAGCCATTGCGGGGCCGCCGGGATGGTCTCACCTACACCATCCTCACCGCCATCGATTCCTTCGGGATGAACGAAATGTCCACCTTCAATGGCGGTTCCCAAAACTAATCGCCGAGAGCTCTGAGGGGTTCGTCCCATCCCCACCAGCGCAGTTGGTCTTTCCAAATCCCCCTCTGCCATTATTTGCGAGGAACTGGAGCGGCGGGGTGAGGGTTTTTCTCCAGCTCTACACGAGTCGGTGCGGTACTCTGCCTCGCCACCTGCGAATTGGTCGGGCTTCTGGTCGGCGACGAAGCATATGGATGCGACTTGAGGATTGGAAGCGGAGAGAAGAAGAAGTGCAACTCTGTAAGGGGAAGAAGTCTATGGATGCGGCTGGAGGATTGGATGCGGAGAGAAGAAGAAGTGGAAGGGAAGAAGTCTATAGGGCGGAGATCTGGTTTCTCGTGTTAATTGAGGGTGGAATCAATTGAAACAAAACCCTAAATTGGATCTTCTTCAAGGAACAACAGAACTGAAGTGGGGAGGTGGAGAACTTCGAGGAATCGTATAAAGAGGAAGAGGAAGAAGTATGAGCCGCCTCCGCTCCACCGTCGCCGACGAAGATCACCTTAATGGTGTGTGCCGGAGAGCCGGAGGGAAACAGGTGCTGGTTGTCGGCAGAGAGAAAATTTAGGAGGAAGAGGAAGGTGAAAAGTTGACTCTCTTTCCTTTTTATTTTCTGTATTTTTCTTTTAATTAATAAATTAATTTAAAACAAATTCCACCTTGGCATTGCCACTTAGACAAGACCCTGTCACGTTACAAGTTACCGTTTGTCCGGTCAGCAATTACGACAGAACCGTTAAGTTTATAGACGGAATGCTATATTTGTGTATTTTTCAAAAAATGGCTATTATTGTCACAAGGTGTAAAGTTATGGCTATACAAGTGTATTTTGCCTATTATTTTATCTTATATTATTTTTTTACTATATATTATGGTTGTTCAAAAACAACTTTTTTCCACATAAGTATTTGGAGAATACACAAATGGCTAAGGTGGACAATTTTTTTGCAAACAAAAAAGTTAGTTAATGATCTATTTATGGTGTTATCGCTCTCTTCTTTTAAATATTTTATTTATTTTCTTCAATAATTCATTTTTGTTTTGTTTTTGTATTATATCTATGTTTGTAGCAATAGACTAATGTTTGTAGAGTGATACATCATACATATTGTATTTTTTTAAATCAAAATACCTTATTAAACTTTATCAAGTTAATTTTCTACACATTTTTACTAAACTTAATAATAAGTTACATTTTATTGAAAACTTTAAACAAACACATAAATAAATAAATAATAATATAATTTTATCGATTAAACAAATACGATGACGGAAAGATAGAAAACAATTGTTAGACAATCGACTTTCAAAAGTGAACTATATTATTTTATATTTTGCTATTAAACACTCTCTTATATCTTATGTATATATCTATAAAATAAAATAAGTATTATATAACAAAAAGGTCTGAATAGAAATTTTACGATGTACAAGTATTATATGACATGTGTGAATGTTAGAGAAATCTTTGTTGACGATTATATTTTCATCATCCACTGACCTAGCATTGATCAAAGTGTCAAAAACAAATATATTTTAGTTTGTAATAGTAAGCAATATGTATTTAGATCGAGTTATTGTAGCCACAAAATTTTATTTTCATATTCCACTGAACGAGGTGAGTTCAAAGGTCTTAATTATTAATTAGGGTATAAAGTAAACTCTTTATAGATGCTTAGATATTAATAATAGATTTGTCTACAATATATCTAATAATTCATATGTATGTGAAATGTCACAATGTTTGTATGAGTTTCAAAATTTTAATAAAAAATAAAATTTTCAAAAACAATAATTTACTTGTTCAAACAATACGATGTTTTTAATGCATATAAATCTATGTGCATTGTAGACATGCTTTATTAATTATTAATATAACCAATGAAAATTTTTGTTCTAGAATTGACACCAAAAATAAGAAATTGTTTGCTAATGCTCATTAAAAAAGTTTGAAAGTTATACACTAAATGACCATGTTAAGAAGAAAACCGTTGATAGTGTGTGAGAGTGTCTTGGTTTGAGATTCTAAGCCAACATAATAACATATAGACAACAACCATGGGTTGAGTGTTAATCCAAACTTCAAAAATTACCAATTGATATGTAAATAAAATTTAATAGCTAAACCTTTCAAAAAATTTAAATTATTAGCCAAACCTTTCAAAAATACAAAAGATTAACCAAATATTTTGTATCACCTCAAAATATTAACCATTTGTCTGTTATCGTTAATAAATTTGTAAATATTTTATTAATTAAAATACTAAATTGGAATATAGACCATCACGCGTCTCTTCCAACTCATCATCATGTTGTTGAGTCAACATTACTAACTAAAATGCTAACGGGGAGTTAATGTTGTCAAAATTTGTCTATCAAGAGACACAAATTTAGTATCTTCTCTTCAGACAAATTTTGACATAAGATCGTTAGCCGAGACTTCATGAAAATGAGGCAAGATTATATAAGTTGATTATCGAAGCGGTACGGTGTGTGTCCAGTTTCACTTGGGATAAACAAAATTTATCAAGTATATTTATCTAATAATCTGAACTCTTGATAATTGGTTGAGAGTTTTGTCGTAACTCGAGAATCATGAATTGTTATATGTTTTATAAGATAATAATAAATCTGAGCAGTTTAGTTGACAAATCTTTGTATACTATTTTAAAAGGGACGTGATGAACCTTGACAATATGATTTACGATTTGAGAATTGAAGCATCATAGATGATCGTGTTAAGTTGAGAATTTTTAATATAGACGTATAACGAAGTGAGAGCATAAAAAATAGAATATTAAAAAAAATTTAAACATATAGATAAATTAATTGATATAAATGATAAAATAAATATTTTCGGCCAATGTGCCGGGTAAAAACTAGTATTAGAAGAATTTGTACTATTGATTGCTAGCTAGCATAAATTGCATATAAGGATATCTTCATACCGGTACTATTAACTTTGTTCTCTATTAAATCCAAACGGAACTAAAACAATTGTGCATTAAAATAGTAATTATAAACTTTAAGGTGTTAGCCTATTGCTAATATGAAAGCATTAAATTCATCTTTTGAGTTCAAAATTTATGATAAAAAATCATCTAAAGCGATAGTTAAGCGCACATAAATTATTAAATACTAATTCATTAGTAACTAATATGTATTAAAATAATTGGGATTGTTAAGAGTTGATATTAACATATGATGAAAGTTTATAATGCTATTATAATTAGGGGTGTTCAAATGGTTACCATGGTTATAACCAAACCAAATAAGGCTAAATTTCATTAACCATTGAATACAATATCATAACCAAACCGTCCAAACTAATACAACAACCAAATTAACCAAACTAAAGTTTAATCGGTTTGGTTAATTGATTATCATTGACGATGAAAATTTTCCGGTTAATGAAACAATTCACAATTTATATAATGAATAAAACATAACAATCAACACGTAGTTATAGTTGACCCTTAACAAAAATACATGCAACTAAGACAATTATCTTACTATTAGTATAGAAGTATTCACCTAACAAAAATTTATGACAATGGTATGTGTTAATGAATTGTTGTGTTTGTGTAAATTGACTTAGTCTCTTAGCAATTATCATAAGCTGGAAATGACATTCCTTTCAAGTTTTCATCCATCATAATGTATGAAATTTATCTAAATTAGGCGTCCATATGTTGTGGTCTACGTTTTACATATACAAATATACACTATATGAGCAATATTGAGCTTTATATTTTATGAGTCTAAAAGGGATGAACGTTAACTCTTGAGTGGTTATGCAAAGTATTAAGTATGTGTATATAATATATGTTAGATATATGACTAATTACTTAACTGGTTAATTTGGTTTGATTGGTTAGGAGTGTGAAACCAAACCAAACCAAACCACCTAAACCAAACAAACTAAAAACTTTAACCAAACCAAGCCAATTATCAAAATTAACCAAACCAAATTATCCAAATAGTACCGGTTAAAACCGTTATCATGGTAACGAAACCGTTTGAACACCCCTAATTATAATTGCCAAATCTCTAATCTTCTAAACATATTGTAGAATTTTGATTAAATAAAGCACTTCATGACTCAAATATACAGTCATTATGTGAAAATTGAATTTTCTCAAAAACTTTCATGATTTCAGGATAAAGAAAATCTTTGAATATAAATATATAGAGATTTAAATAATAGTGTTGCATTTGGTATATAAATCCAACACCTTTGGGGTTTGTTTAACTCTCACATTTGGAGATCATGAAAATGTATACTAAATGTATGGATCAACGGGTAAAATTGTGCCAAATTTATTGACACAATGAATTTGAAAAAGAAAAGGAGAGTTGTTAATTGAATTACTTTTTTTTTTTTTTTGAAAATGGGGTGCTAAAAGTGCACCCCTGCCTAGCACTAGATTAAGCGAGATTGGGCAATGCCCATAGTATCATACAGAATCCAGTATCTCAAACCCAAATACAAAGAGTTGAGCTCATGAAAACCAAAACTACAAGAATGAGCCTTATTAGCGAGGAAGTCCGCCGCTTTATTCCTTTCCCTATAAGAGTTAATTGAATTACTTACGATCCAAAGAGATGCTAAATATGATTGCATTAAAGTTGAACTTCCCCACTATTAAAAATGAAACTTTCCCCAAATTTCATGGTTATACAAATTTGAATAAATAAATATGCTAATACAAACTTGTTGGGTAAGCATAAGTAAACCATTGAGAGATATGGGCCCATGGGGGCTGTCTAGGCCCAAGCCCACTTGAGAGCTGGAGGAATGGGGATGTAAGTTAGGAGTTAGGCCCATACAAGGGGGAGCGGGCGCATAACGACAAAAGTAGGGCGGGGACCATGCATCTTGGGGACCAGGAGCCTGAGGGCATGCCACCTGGTAGTGTGGTCCCGGTCAGGCGCCTAGGCATAGGAGTCCAGAAGCTGCCACGTGTAGGCGCCCGACCGTTGGGCCGTACCAAGCATTTAATGACGCGCTGACGTGGAGCTGAATCCTAGGAGCTTGGTCGGGACCTCGACGAGTATAAATAGTACTCGGTAGGTAGCATTTACGCAGGTTGGCTTCTCTCACTAAAGCCTTGCTTAACACTTATCTCTCTAGAATCGCCCCTGACTTGAGCGTTGGAGTGCTAACGGGCACCCAAAGGCCCTTTAGGCGCTTGTCTGTGCAGGGTTCAGGCGCCCCAACTGTGTTTACTAATCGCAGATTATGGAGAGACGAGACCGAGGGTTCGTGGCACAAACAATTGACGCGCCAGGAAGGGGGCGCACGAATCGGGTAAGCGCATGGAGAACGTGAACGAAGGAAATGAAGGGGTGGATAATTCAAGATCGGAGAACTTGAATCACGAGGAGGGCGAGCGTCAGCTGAGTCAGGAGTTGAGCATGGATGTGGAAGGAGAAGGCAGCCATGGGCTCCCGTTGGCGGAAGAAGGGGAATCCTTGACAAAGAGGGAGTTGTTCCGAATCCTTGCTGATCAAGATCGGGCCATAGCGGCGCTTAGAAGGGAGTTGGAAGGGGAACGAAGCGAAGACATGATGATGTATAGCCCGGGAGTGAGAGAGCGAGAAAGGGAAGGGGAGGACTCGGAGTCCATGCAGTACGGACCACCGCATCACACTGAGCAGGGCCCCGACATGCCTGGGCGCCCGTGTGCCTGGAGGCTGCTCGCCGAGCACACGCAGATGGGTCCTGATGACGCTTGGGCGCCTAGGAGAATCGCAAGACGCTTTGGCGTCAGACAGCCCCTGGCGTGAAGTAT